ACACTCTCAGCACACTTACACAATTATAGTTATGTGTTTATGTCATTATTTGATTCACATTCAGCTTCCACACAAGACTGTGAGATCCCTGAGGACAGGGACATGTTGGTAGCATTTTCCACCAAATCCAGAGCTTCACACCATGTCTGTGATATTACCAGTGCTTTAAAAACACATGCAGAATGAAGGAAGTGAGGAGCAGTTTTGAGAGCACATGGCCTCTCTGTGGTGGAGAATTCCCCATTGGGTGGGTCTCCCACTCCAGACACCGAAAGTGGAAGAGGAAGACCTACTCCTGCCTACCTCCAGCAGCTAGGGTATGGCAGGTAATGTGTGCCAGCCAATCAGATGCTCCCATAGAGGATATCACTCTCTGGCTGGTGATTCACAGAGGCAGGGACAGTTGAGAAATTGATGGCAGCTCACAGCCTGGCAGCTACAGGACTGCAGATGTCTATTGGCTGTGTTTATGGTATTGCCAGTGAAATAGTCCTAAACAAATGATGGCTGTGGCTCCAACTTCCTGCTTACCTTGGGCCCTAGCCTTTTGTAAAACCTGGGTTTACAATAATTCTGAAAATCACATGTTTTTCTCTTAAAATATTTCTTTCCTCCTTAAACTAGACAGTGGATTTTCTGTTACTTACCATCAAGAACCTTGACTTATTTAAGTATATATATATGCTTTATATATTTTAAAAATAAACATAGAGAGAAAGAGGGAAGAGGGAAAAAGAGAAAATAAAAGAGAATGAATCTCAGAGCCTGGAAGCATGAAATGAAGCCACCCTTATAAGACACTAAGTATTGGGCTGTGTTTGGACAGCACGTGGGTGCTGAAGAGAGGGCTTCTCTTTAGGTTGGAAATCAATTGTTATTCAGGTTATGATCACTGATCATGACTAAAACCATTGTGAAATATGGAATAAATCCATATTTCCCCAAGTGTAGAACAGGGATGAGTTGGAGTTACATGAGGTTCTTTTATGTGGGGTGTCCACCTGGCATTAAATATTATTGAATTATATAGTGAGAAAGTAATTCCTTTTCCCATCATCTTCCAATCATTTCGATATTACCAAGGACATGATATCTCTTTACTACTTCTCAACACTTACTATTCTTCCTTTTTAACAAAGAGAAGGCAGCCTTAGGCTCAGAGCATTCACAGACCCTTGCTAGAATTTAATTACATTTTTGTTTTTGCCATGTTTTGTTTTCTAGTTACTTCTTATTTATAGCAAGTCATGATAATTTTCCGTTTATAGTCATGATATTAGCATTCCTAAATTTCTTTCAGTTAAAGAAGAAAGTCAACTTAAAAATTCTGAATAAATAATAACACAGATGAAACGCAGGGCAAAAATCCCAAAGACAATGAATGATGTGTACAGTTTAGAAAACACTGGAATAGTCCATCCATTTATAGCCACAGAGCAGGATGTAAATGACTAGAAGGTGAACCTGAAAACAACAGCAGCAACAACCGCTTCAGAAACACTTCTGAAGGCACTCGAGTGTGTGTGGTGGACAGATGGTTTACTCTGCTGAAGCCAAGACCAAGATAGTGGCAGAGGTTGGAGGAGGCAGAGGTAGTAGCAATTGTTGCCATCATAAAACTGCAAGCAAGAAGGTTCAAAGTACAAGGCAAGGTTTGTCAGCACTTTCATGAAGAAGAAGCCACACAAATCCAAAATTGCTGCCAAACTCTATCCAGCTCCTCCTTCATTGACTGGATGGTCCTCTCACGTGTGCAGGCAACAGAGACAACTTTCTTCTCCTTGGTTTTGAGGTAGTATGACGTACAATTTTATATGCCAACATTTAAATTTTATTTTCTTACTTCATTTAAATTCCCTTACATTAGTAATTCTCAATTGGGGAGAGTCATTTTTCTCAGACTGCCTGCTTATCAAAGATTCTAGAATGTTCCACGGTGGGGAGGTAGGGATATCGGTTCTCCCTCACCTCCCACCCAGTTCAAATCACTATTATAATGTGAGCGTATCATGCTCCTCTAGAGAACCACTTCTTCTGTGAAAGCCACAGTGTAACCGTCTCCCACCCACCCATAAGACCACGGGACAGGTGTCTGGGTAGTGTGGAAAGAGGAGGTCAGCTTACCTTTTAGCACCATAAGACATGGGTAGAAGATACAGCTGAGGAAGAATTATTCTCAGCACCAAAATAATTTGCAAAATGGCTAGGCAGTAGTTATACAGCATCTTGATGAAGGTTGCAGAAATTAAGTAAACAACTCGCAAGAGCAAAGAGCAAAAGCCCTTACATTTTAAGCCAGTGAGAGCTCTTCAAAATTTTAAAAAGAGGTACACTCTGAATAATATGACCTTGTGAGAGAACATGCCTTGGCCACAGATCCTGTATAATTTAAGTAGATTCAGAAAAGAGGTTACCAGCCAGAACAGCTTTTTAGTGACAAAGATCTGGTTTGTTTCAGCAGGGAATGTCTTCTGTAACTTAGATACACTTCCCCCTCCCCCCACCCCTTCTTTTCTCCCTCCCTCCTTTTTTCCTTCCCCCCTAACCTCCTATTTTCTGAGTTCTTGCATGCTTCTCTGACCAATAGCACCAGAAGTCATCTGTACTTTATTGGACATCACTGGTTTTCAGACTTCTTTCTCCAAAGCCTGTGACCTGCAGAAAAGCTGGCAGGGTGAGACCTACTTTCTATCTGAGAACAGTCGTTTGAGGGTGCAGGGTCTATAGTTGGCCACGTGATATTTCAAGTCCTGGCTTCACCACTTACAAGCTGTGTGACACTGAGCAGAAAATTGCTTCATTATATTGTGTCTCAATGTCTTCATATATAAAATGAGAATAATAAAATCACCTACTTCATTGGATTTTGTGGTTATTCAATGGTCAAGTTCGTGTAAAGTACCGAGAACAGGACCCTGTGTATATAAGCACAATATAATTGTTAGCTTTACGTATTTAACGTCTCCATAACCTTTCCTTTGACAAAAGAGTTCTACTGCCCCCAAAAGATCTGAAAATCACTTTGCTGCTGTTGCAGATAATTGTTTATTCATTCAGTTAAGCTTTTTTTGAGCATCTAAGTAGTTCCAGGCCCTGTGCTAGGTTTGAGGAATTCAGGGTTGAATGACAGGGTCCCCGTGGTAGAGGAGCTCATGTCCTGCTTGGGTCGGCACACAAGTAAATAACAAGTTACAGGAAAGCACACAGTTATGTCAGGGATAGGGCCAGTTTCACGCTCAGAAAGTTGGGGACAGGTGGGTAGGTTACCCAGCCTGGGGGTCAGGGGTCAGGAGAGCCTTCCTGAAGGAATTGGGCCCTGAATCTGGATCTCGGAGTAGACATTAGTCAGAAGAGAGAGGAAAGGGCTTTAGGCAGAGGGGACAGAATGTGGCAGTGCCAGTTTCACGCTCAGAAAGTTGGGGACAGGTGGGTAGGTTACCCAGCCTGGGGGTCAGGGGTCAGGAGAGCCTTCCTGAAGGAATTGGGTCCTGAATCTGGATCTCAGAGTAGACATTAGTCAGAAGAGAGAGGAAAGGGCTTTAGGCAGAGGGGACAGAATGTGGCAGGGAAGGCAAGTGCAGCTGTGAGAGCAGAGAACTTTGGGGGAAGTGTCAGAAGTTCTGTTCAGTAAGAGTAGGAAGTCAGAGAAATCAGGAGCAGTGAGGCTTGAAAGACTGGGCTAGGTCTTGAGGGATCTTGAAGGCTGTACAAAAGAATTTTATTCTGGAGGCCACAGGGGCCAAGGTGGAAGCTTAATCAAGAGGATGATCGGAACATATTTTATTCTGTGGTGGCAACATGTAGACTAACGCACTATCTCGAGGTTACTGCACTAATTCATCAGGTGAGATAAGAAACGAGGGCATCTCAGAGCACAGAAATACATACCTGTGCTGAAATGTTCATCACCACCTACTGTTGAATGTCCCAGTGTCTAAATTCTTGAGAAAATCCTGCAGAACAACTTCACCATGGCTTTTCACTTATCTACATTCTCTGTAATAATCGGCACTTTCTTACCTTAACTAGACTTAACCAGCCTAATTTTTTTTTTTTTTTTTTTTTTTTTTTTTTGCTATCCTTTCTTTCTGTTCTATTATTAATCAGTCAGAAAAGCCTTTTCCCCTTGGTCTTGTCTACACTTACCCTTTCAATGATTATTGATTTAAATATCTGTTAAGAAATATATATGTGTGTGTATGTAATAGTATTTAACATGACGTTATTAATTTGGTAATACTTAACATGCAGATAAAAAATGAACTTTTCCTTTCTTTTCTTTTTTTGGCAGCTGGCTGGTACAGGAATCAACCTTGGATGTGGTGTCATCAGCATCATGCTCAAAAATGTGTTTTTCATTTCTTTATACCTCTACTGTGCCTATCACAAAGGAGGCTTCTGGATGCCCTATGTTGGTGGGCAGTTCACAATTAGGTAAATATACACATTGTGTGAAGGGAACATTTTGAAAAGGGCCCCTGATTAAATTTTTGTCCACTATTTCATGAATCAGTACAACTGCTAAGACAATTTCTCCTCTAGAAAGACTAAAAGGAGAAATACTTTTTTCACATTTTTTTTATTAACAGATAAAATCAAAAAGGTCAGTTCTTGAGTTGCTATTAACCTTATTAATATCTGAAGTGAAACTAAGATTCATCTAGGGCTGGGAGGAGGCAAAGAGCAGAATAGCAGCTCTTGAGAAAGAATACCACTCACGGTCACCTTGTTTTGTTACCTTTTCTTGTGTTATGAATAACGAAGGTGTCAGCAGTGATTCCTTCTAGAGTGTGGGCGATTTTGTACTCATTGCTTCAGCGCGCGCGCAGGCACACAGACACACACGCGCGCACACACATACACGCGCGCACACACATACACGCGCGCGCACACACGCACACCACACTTTGCGTGTTCCCCAGCTGCTTCTGTGCACTTCCGTCCAACTTTGCAGGTGTCCCTGGCTCTGGGTCCTACCCTCTCCTCTCCCAGGTACTCACAGAGTCTGCGTACTGGGCGGTAGGCTGGGGATGCGGTGGATATCCTTGCAGGTGACTTTGAAGTCGTCCTCCTGATGGCACTCGCAGGGTGGAGATGGACACCCCTTTCCCCCCAGGCTCTTGGGCAGGGCGAGCAGCAGCACCAGCTGCAGCAGGGGCGCCGGCCTCATTTTCCACGGGGCCCCAGGGCTATTCCTTTCCCCTCCGCTCCCGCCTCCTCCTCAGCGCTCCGCTTCCCCAGGGTGAAGGAGCCGGGAGCGGAGGGGAGGAGCAGAGAGGGCTCGAAGGGGCTGTGACCTCAGCAGCGCAGAGGGGGCTGGAGAGGGAGAAGAGGAGGCTCTCGAGTGCTCCGCTTTCCGAGGCAACTCTCCACCCAAGCAAGCTTCTTGCTTCGCTTCCCTTGGCCCGAGCCACGCACCCGCTCCGTCTGTTCCCTGACGCCTAACACCGGTCCCGGCTGTCCCCTCTGCTCTCCACCCTTCCCCACCAGTTCCTTTCATTTGTACTCGCCAAAGCCTAATGGAGAGGTCCTCTCCTCTCTTCATCTCTAACCCCCCAAATCCACCTCTCCCCTTGGGGAGCCTTCTGAAAACGCTGCCTGCCGGGGCGCCACCGGCGCGCAGTCTGTCCGGGGAAGGTCCCCGCGGAGTGGTCTGCCCCGAGCGCACCAGGGTCCTGCGGCGTTGCAACTCCTCCCAGCCCAAGTTGCCTCTGCTGAGAGTCNTCGGACGCCCTGAGGCAACTCCGGGACCGGGCTCTGGCGCCATCTGCTGTGCAGAACGTGAGCGGCAGAAACGGTTCCTGGTGACCGGAATGTGTCTGCGAATCTACCTTGCAATGCGGGTTTGAGGCCGGCCTGGATTTTTTTTTAATTGAAACGTAATTGATTGTACATATCCGGGGGATACAGCATTGAATATACATACCTGTGTGTAATATGTGATACTTAAATCAGGATAATTAGTATATTCAACATTACACCATGTAGCCTGGAAATTCTAGTCTGTCCAGAAAATTTAAACCTTGTTCTCCCCAGAAGATCAGAAGAAAAGAATCCTTAGGTGACACACCATCATGCACTCATCATTCTTCACACAGCAGCCAAAAAGTAATTGCAAATACAGGACAAATCAGATTGTGCCAATTTCCTTTTTAAAAGTCTTCAATAACTTACTAATTCCTCTTGAGATAAAAGGAATATCAAATCCTTACGTAGTGCGTGATTCCTTTTACATGAACTTTTAGGACAGGGGAAAAAAGCTATGATGATGGAAATCAGAATAAAGATTAAGGAAAACTGACTAGAAAAAGACAGGAGGGAATCGAGGGGTTCTATATCTTAATTAGACTGGAGGTTAAGTGGATGTATACCTTTGTCAAAATTAATTGAACTGCACACTTAAAATATGGGCATTCCAATGACTATAGAAACTTTATTTAAAATCACCAAAAGCTGGAAATAATGCAAATGTCCCTCAACTAGTTAATGTATATACAAGTACTCATACATCCACACAGTGGAATACTATTCTACGATAAAGATGAACTGCTGATACAGCATGCACAGATTTTAAATACATAATGCTAAGTGAAAGAAGGCAAACTCAAAAGATTATGTATTTATATGTAATTATCGTATAAATAAATTCATTTATATGAAATTCTCAAAAAGGCAAAACAATAGGGACAGGAAACAGCTCAACAGTTGCAAAGGCCTGGCATTCAGAGGAGAGGTTGTATTACAAGCGGACACCAGAGAACTTTCTGAGTGATGAAACTGTTCTAAATCTTGATTGTGATGGTGGTTCCACGGTAGTTTGTTAATGTGGTGGATCACAGTGACTGATTTTTGAATGTTAAACTCACCTTGCA